AAAATTGTATTTTATTGATCTCAGAGGGAAAAGGAGAGGGAAAGAGCAATAGAAACATCAATGATGAGAGAGAATCATTGATTGGCTGCCTTCTGCACGCCCCCCTCTGGGGATCAAACCCACAACCCGGGCATGTGCCCTGACCAGAAATCCAACTGGGACCTCCTGGTTCCTAGGTCGACACTCAACTGCTGAGCCACACTGGCCGGGATATCATGGAAAATTTTGGATCCCAGTTACAAAATATAAGGAGTGCTCCCCAAAAGTGGCCTGGCAGAATCACAGAGTTGGAAGGAGTCTTAGAATTTGACTAGTCCAAACCCTTAATTTTACCAAAGAGGAAACAGATTTAAGGAGAAATGGCTTGCCCAAGTTTACAGTCACGGGCAAAATCAAGTCTGTTGATGTGTGGCCATTTCTGTTCTTGCTCTCCCTGGCTGTAATCCCCCACCTTCCACCATCACTTCATTAACGACCTTCTCTGCTGCTACCAAGCAAAAGATCAGCCTTCAGACTAATAAATGCAGTTGTTTGATGCAGAGTTTTTTTAAAGTCATCAGAGGTCTGAGTCAGCAAATAATGATCTATAGCATCGTCCCATCATCCCCTGTGTCTAGCAGAGGGAGAGAAGTTTACTTTCAAGAGCTCAAACTAGGTTCATATCCTAGGTCCACCCCTGAGATGGTGGATGACACTAAGCAAGTATTTAACCTCTTTGAACTTCAATATTATCATTTTAAAAATGGAGGATCATAATAGTACCCATCTCTTAGGTTCCTTAGGTGAGGATTAAATCAGCTAGTCAGTTAGATTGGGGTCTGGTGTATAGTAAATCCTCAATAAATGCTAGCTATTGTTATTACTACTATGAGGGTAGTTAGAACTATTTCTGTCAAAAATTGTAAGGAAATAAGAAAAATATTTTTTAAGGGAGAGATTGGTGCTCAGAAACACTTTTCTGGGATTAGAAAACCTGAACTTCCAGCAATCAGAAATCTTTATGGGACTATTGTAGCTTTTTCCCCTGTAGCTTTGCATCCAATAACTATCTTAATTACCCCCAAATTTCAACTGTTACTTATTTAAAATTTTTTTTCCTGATTTTAGTCTCTCTACTCAATAATTTTTATAGCTTTGTTGAGGTATAATTGATATACAATAAACTCAGTATACAAAACAATTTGATTAGTTTTGATATACACATGAAACCATCACCAAAATCAAAACAATGAACACATGTATCACCAGGAAAATTTCATGTCCCTTTTGGGAATCTTGCCATCCTACCCCTTCTGGTCCCTCCTGGCCCCTCCCAACCCTCCACTCCCATTCATAGGCAAAACTGATTTGCTAGAATTTATATAAATGAAATCATACAGTATGCTTGCTATTTGTCTGTCTTCTTTCACTCAGCATAATTACCATCCATGTTGATCTGTATACAAATAGTTCATTTCTTTTTATTGCTCAGTACTCCCAAACTGGCTGTAGTATGGAGTGAAAATAATTTTTAAATAAATAAAAATATTTATTGATTAAATATCTGTTTCCTTTTCTTCCCCCTCCCCCTATTTCATTGTTAATCCGTATACATAGTAAAGAGTATACAGCAATTGTAGGTCCCCTGAGAATAACACCCACTTATATTCCATATGCATATTTTTAAAATGGTGTCTATAAGCAATATTACTATTTATTTGAATGTTGAGATTAAATTTTTCTCCTGTCTTGTTGGCTCTCAGTATAAATATTGAAAACCTATTTGAAGAAATAATGGCAGAAAACTTCCCCCACCTGGTGAAAGAAATGGACTTACAGGTCTGTCTTCTTTCACTCAGCATAATTACCATCCATGTTGATCTGTGTACAAATAGTTCATTTCTTTTTATTGCTCAGTACTCCCAAACTGGCTGTAGTATGGAGTGAAAATAATTTTTAAATAAATAAAAATATTTATTGATTAAATATCTGTTTCCTTTTCTTCCCCCTCCCCCTATTTCATTGTTAATCCGTATACATAGTAAAGAGTATACAGCAATTGTAGGTCCCCTGAGAATAACACCCACTTATATTCCATATGCATATTTTTAAAATGGTGTCTATAAGCAATATTACTATTTATTTGAATGTTGAGATTAAATTTTTCTCCTGTCTTGTTGGCTCTCAGTATAAAGAAAGCATCCTTCCATTGGCCTCATCCAATGAATTGACTCAAATTCAATTGCATAAATATTTACACATAGTTTTCATTTTCATGGTGAAATATTTATTCTGTTCAGTCCTTTTTTGAAATTGTAGACAGTGTGTTCCCAATTCCCTCTCAGCTGGAGCATAACATGAAATAAACTAAAAAATTGATACAGCAAAAGTAATATATTTGCAAGATAATGAGAGATCATTTGAGAGGCAAGTCCATTTTTGTAATGATTTTTTTTGCCAACATCATAGTATCTTTCAACTATTGACATTGCTGCATCTGGGAAGGAAGAAGATAAAAATTCACATTCAAAATGCCCGTTCAAGTTTGGTGAAAGATTTAATTTCTTCATCTATCACCATGTCACCAGCCCTATGAATACTATAGATCATGCCTCAGTGCCAGAAGTACGGAGACTTGGCAGTGTAGAGGGTAGCATTTAGCCAGAGGGAATCATAAAGAAGACCGAGAAAACAAACGTTATCCATTCTGCATCTCAAACTTGTGTCCTGGGCAATTGTCCTGAGTGCACTCTACCCAAGAAGCCTGGGAATGCAGGAATTGAAAAATAGCCCGTAATGGAGATGTATATACTGACGTTAAAGATGCTGCAAGGATTCTAGTGGCAATAGATTTTTATGGAGAACAATAAAAAGTAAGTGCAGTTTCTGTATTGGAAGATAACTTGGAGATTATTTGGTCCACACTTTTATGTTGCAGGTGACTTGCCCAAGGTCAAACAATAACTCACTGGCAGAACTGGGACTTGATCTGGTATTTATGAACCACACACTTGTGCCCTCTCCTTGTTGCTACTTCTGTTGGGGCTGGTCTGTTGGTGTGTAGGGTGTTGGAATACATGATTTGTTCTTGTTGGACGCCCCATGTAAAGGCGCCTTTTGCCTGGGACAGTGGTTGGCAATCTCATTAGTCAGCAGAGCCAAATATCAACAGTACAACGATTGAAATTTCTTTTGAGAGCCAGCTTTTTAAAACTTAAACTATATAGGTAGGTACATTCAACTTTAAATTC